ACAATGACTTTGTACTTGTAATTCCCTTTGTCAGGTTCCTCTTTTCTCCTGGTCCACCTGACCAATTATTATTTGACCTTCAAGTCGTCCAGGCTCTCTGCAAATGCCAGTTTCTTTCTAAAGATGTCCTAACACTGCCTACTCAGGACCCCTGGCACAAGCTGGAGCTCTCACCCTCTCCTCTGTCTACCACTGTACTTTGCACACACCTTCAGCTTAGCTTTTACAACAGTGTGTCACAATTATTTGTATACAAGACTGTCTCATCCATTAGACTGAACACCTTGAAAGAAGGAATTGTGTTATTTTCTCTTTGCATTCTTGGCATCTAGCATAATGGCTGGCATGTTGAAGGTTTTTAATATGTATGTTTGAAAAAATGAATAATTAATGAAGGAGATGATCTAGGTACAGTTGAGCTAGGTATAGAAGCTGACCAAGAGAGTGGAATAGTACCCTGGGCAGAAATAATCTCTCCCTCTGCTGAACTCCCCTTAGCACTTTACATCTATCTACCATCCTAATGGATACCACACTCCCTTCCATTAAAACAAACTAATCTGTAATCTACTAATTCAATTCTGAAATTCTCTGAGCACTTCATTTACAAAGGTACTCAGTAATAATTTTGGTGAGTGAATCTAACCAAAGTTAAGTAAACTTTATCAAGATTTAAACATTGCTTACATTTTTACAGTAGCAGAAATAATTGTTATTTTCTGTAATGTTTTTGAAATAAATTAGTCACAATCTAAGTAACACATATTCTTAAATCTCATTAACCTTGAATCATTATAATTTCATGTTTAAAAGATTAATGAAATGCAACCTGATTCAGGCAAATAGATCTGGCATTGCGCTGATAGCAAAGGTAAACTAGGAAAAGAACGCTTTGATTTTCATGCAAAGTCAAGTCAATCGGTTAAACATGTAGGTAACTAAAAGAAAGGCAAAAGACAATTTTACAGTAAAATTAGTTACTTCAGAACAAACAGATGGCCATCGAGGAAAGATTCAACCTTTTTGAATAAACCTCACGTTTTTACAGATTTTATGCCACAAATATACAATAGTGCTGAATTGAGGTCCGGTACCCCCAAACAGCGTGGTGAGATGATATATTGCAGAATATGTATATATTATCCCTAGACTATTCAAGGTATTGTGAAGTTTACAGGTTAGAAAGATGTTGCCTTTTAGAAGATAGAATGGTTTTAAATTGAATGTCTAGCCTGATGTTATATATTAAATAGTGTTCCCCAAAAATACGTGTTAGAACATAATCCTGCTTGAGAATAGGGATTTCTTTGTTACGTTAATTAGATCGTACATGAGTAGGGTGGGTTCTAAATCTAATCACTTCTGAGTTATAAGAAGAGCAGATTAGACACAGAGATACGCACACACAGGGGAAGGCAGATGCCATGGAGAACCATCTACAAGCTAA